TGGGGGAGGGGGTGGGGGGGTGGGGGGTGTGTGGGTGCATGGGGTGTGGGGGGTGGTTTTGGGGTGCCAGGAGCAAGGAGAAGGTGGTTGGATGGATATGGTGGGGTGCATGGGGTATGGGTGCAATGGGGTGTGGGGTGTTAGGAGCGAGGAGAAGGGGCTGGAATGGATATGGGGTGCATGGGGTGCCCGGTGCAGCTATGGGGTGTGTGGGGTGTGGAGGTGTGGGGTGCAGGAGCAAGTAGAAGTGATGCTGTGCTGGGAATGGATGTGGGGTGCATTGGGGTTTTGGGGTGCCAGGAGCAAGTAGAAGGTGCTGGAATGGGGTATGGGGTGAAGGGGTGAAGGGGTTATGGGGTGCAATGGGTGTGGGGTGCCAGGAGCAAGGAGAAGGGGCTGGAGTGGATATGGGGTGCATGGGGTGCCAAGCGCATCTATGGGGTGTGTGGGGTGCATTGGGGTGTGGGGTGCCAGGAGCAAGAAGAAGGGGCTGGTTTGGTTATGGGGTGCGTGTGGGGGGGGAAATGGGTGCAAGTTTGCAAGCATCAGGGTGCCAGGGCTTTGGGGTATTTCTATGGGGTTGGTTTTGGGGTGCATTGGGGTTTGGGGGTGCCATGCGCAAGGCGAGTGGGGTGCCGGGCGCATCAGGGTGCACCAGGGCGCATGGCACGGATACGGGGCGCATGGCGCACGGAGAGGGCGCACCCTTGGGGACACCCCATTGACGGGGCACCCCATGACGGGGACACCCCACTGATGGGGACACCCCACTGATTGACGGGGACACCCCCCAGGTGTCCGTGGGCGAGGGCAGCCACCCGGGCCGCGTGCGGGTGCACGGCCCCGGGGTGGAGAAGACGGGGCTGAAGGCGGGCGAGCCCACCTACTTCACCGTGGACTGCAGCGAGGCCGGGCAAGGTGGGCACCCATCCCCGTGTCCCCATGTCCCCTCGGTCCTGTCATGGTTCTGGGGGTGCTGATCCCCCGTGTGTCCCCAACCCCCAGGGGACGTCAGCATCGGCATCAAGTGCGCGCCGGGCGTGGTGGGGCCGCTGGAAGCTGACATCGATTTCGATATCATCAAGAACGACAACGACACCTTCACCGTCAAGTACACGCCGCCCGGCGCCGGGCTCTACACCATCATGGTGCTCTTCGCCAACCAGGTGGGTCACCGTGGTGTCACCACCGTGATGGGGACACTCGTGGCACGGTGGGGTCACCCCCATGATGGGGACGCTCGTGGCACGGTGGGTTACCCCCATGGGGATGGTCTGTCCTGTGTACAACCAGGTGTCTCGTACCCCGGTCATGGGTGTCACACCCTATGGGGAACTGTCACGTGGTCTGATGTCGTGACGGTGGTGTTACCCCCATGGGGATGCTCGTGGCACGTTGTCCCACGGGGACATTTGTGTCGTGGTGGTGCTGCTCGTGTCCAAAGGTGCCACTGGTGACGTGGTGGTGTCACCCCCGTGGTGCCACTTGTGCCCAACAGTGCCACTTGTGCCGTTGTGGTGCCACCTCCATGGTGCCACTCATCCCCAGTGGTGCCATTTGTGCCCACTGGTGCCACTTATCCCCAGTGGTGCCACTCGTCCCCTACCATTGCCACTTGTACCCAGTGATGCCACTTTTGCCCAGTGGTGCCACCCCTATGATGCCACTTGTCCCCAGTGGTGCCACTTGTGTCCACTGGTGCCACTCGTACCCTACCAGTGTCACTTGTGCCCATTGGTGCCACCCCCATGATGCCACTTGTCCCCAGTGGTGCCACTTGTGCCATGGTGGTGCCACTTGTCCCTCACAGTACCACTTGTGTCTAGTGGTGCCACTTGTCCCCTACCAGTGCCACTTTTGCCCAGTGGTGCCACCCCATGGTGCCACTTGTCCCCAGCAGTGCCACTTGTGCCCATTGGTGCCATTTGTCCCCTACCAGTGCCACTTGTCCCCAGTGGTGCCACTTGTGCCACGGTGGTGCCACTTGCCCCTCACAGTGCCACTTGTGTCTAGTGGTGCCACTTGTCCCCTACCAGTGCCACTTGTGCCCATTGGTGCCACTTGTCCCCAGCAGTGCCAACCCCATGATGCCACTTGTCCCCAGTGGTGCTACTTGTGCCATAGAGGTGCCACTCGTCCCCCACAGTGCCACTTGTGCCCAGCAGTGCCACTTTTGCCCAATGGTGCCACCCCCATGGTGCCACTCGTCCCCAGCAGTGCCACTCGTCCCCAGTGGTGCCACTCATCCCCTGGCAGTGTCACTCCTGGCACCCACCCACGTCCCTTGGCCGTGTCCCCTGTCCCCTGGCCGTGTCCCCAGCCATGCTGCCTGTCCCCTGGCAGCCCCTCCTGGCAGTGTCCCCTTTCACTCAGCTGTGTCCCCTGTCCCTGGCAGTGTCCCCTGGCGGCGTCCTTTGTCCTGGCCGTGTCCCCAAGCCACGTGCCCTGTCCTTGCCATGACCCTGTGGCCGTGTCCCTTAGCCGTGGCGGTGCCACCTTCTCCCTGGCCGTGTCCCCTGTCCCTGGCCACGCTCCGTGTCCCATGTCCTTGTCCCTGGCCGTGTCCCTGACCCGATGGTGTCCCCCCAGGAGATCCCCAGCAGCCCGTTCCGCATCAAGGTGGACCCGTGCCACGACAGCAGCAAGGTCAAGGCGGAGGGACCCGGCCTGAGCCGCACGGGTACGGGGACGGGGATGGGGACGGGGGTTTGGGGACTGGGTTTTGGGGTCTTGGGGGGCTTATAGGGCTGATGACACCGTGGGTGCCACGCAGGCGTGGAGGTGGGCAAGCCGACGCACTTCACGGTGCACACCAAGGGCGCGGGCAAGGCCAAGCTGGACGTGCAGTTTGCGGGGCCGGGGAAGGGGCCGGCCGTGCGCGACTTCGAGGTCATCGACAACCACGACTACTCCTACACCGTCAAGTACACGGCCCTACAGCAGGTGCGCCGGGGGGGCACCCGTGGGGGTCACCCCGTGGGGGTCACCCCATAGGGACCATCCCATAGGGGCCACCCCATAGTGGCCATCCCATGGAGGACACCCCATAGTGGCCACCCCATAGAGGCCACCCCATAGTGGCCACCCCATGGGGGCCATCCCATTAAGCCACCCATTGCGGCACTGGGCATCTCCATGCTCATCCCATATGGACACCCCCATGGGCACCCCGCCTTTATGGGTACCCCCATGGTCTCCCAATCCCTATGGGTACCCCATGAGCCCCCCACCCCTGTGGGTACCCCAATAGCTCCCCCCATCCCTATGGGATCCCCCATGGCCTCCCAATCCCTATGGGTACCCCAATGGCTCCCCCTGATCCCTATGGGTTCCCCCATGAGCCCCCCATCCCTGTGGGTACCCCAATAGCTCCCCCCATCCCTATGGGTACCCCAATAGCTCCCCCGATCCCTATGGGTACCCCAATAGCTCCCCCTGTCTCTATGGGTACCCCCATGGCCTCCTGATCCCTATGGGTACCCCAATAGCTCCCCCTGATCCCTGTGGGTACCCCATGAGCCCCCCATCCCTATGGGTACCCCCATGGCCTCCCGATCCCTATGGGTACCCCCATGAGCCCCCCATCCCTGTGGGTACCCCAATAGCTCCCCCCATCCCTATGGGTACCCCCATGGCTCCCCCAATCCCTATGGGTACCCCCTTGAGCCCCCCACCCCTGTGGGTACCCCCCTATGCCCCCCCACCCCTATGAGCACCCCCTGTCCCCCCTCCCATGGGCCCCCAGTCCCCATGGGCACCCCACCACTGGCACCCCTATGGGTACCCAATCCCTACAAGCACCCCAGACACCCCATAGACCCCTCTCTGGGCAGCTGAGCCCCCCAAAATTCTGGGTGCCCTTTCCCTAGCAGCCCCTGGGCACCCCGGGGTGGGCGTTGGGACCCCCCCCCCAAGCCCCCCAGCAGCACCCTGAGGTGCCCCATCCCGTAGGGTAATATGACCGTGGTGGTGACCTATGGGGGGGACCCCGTCCCCAAAAGCCCCTTCAGCGTCAACGTGGCGCCGGCCCTACAGCTCAACAAGGTCAAGGTGCAGGGGCTCAGCACCAGTAAGTGGGGGCGGCGTTGTGGGGTGGGGGGCACCGTGGGGCTGGGGGGGGTTCTATGGGGCGGGGGGCACCATGGGGCGAGTGGGTGTCATGGGGTGGGGGCACCCGGGTGGGGTATGTGGGGCCAACGGGCACAGGGGGCATCGTGGGGAGGGTGTGGGACCCCCTTGGTTATGGGGTGCCCCATGGGGTGGGTGCGCCCTGGCAAACTGTAGGGTCCCCTTGGTTATGGGGCACCCCCTAGGGTGGGTGCACCTTGGGGTTGGGGACCCCTGTGGTTATGGGGTGCCCCATGGAGTGGGTGCACCCTGGTAGAATGTGGGACCCCCTTGGTTATGGGGCACCCCATAGAGCAGATGTGCCTGGCAGGGTTGTGTCCCCAGTGGTTATGGGGTGCCCCATGGGGTGGGTGCACCTCGGGGTTGGCGACCCCTGTGGTTATGGGGTGCCCCATGGGGTGGGTGCACCCTGGTTGAATGTGGGACCCCCTTGGTTATGGGGTGCCCTGTGGGGTAGAATATGGGCCCCCTCCCTTGGTTATGGGGCACCCCATGGGGTAGCATGCGGGACCCCTTTACCATTGGGGCACCCCATGGGGTGGGCGCACCAGGACACCCTCGGCGACCCCTTACGGCTACGGGGCACCCCGGGGAGGTCCGGAACCTTGGGGACTCCCCCTCCCTTGACCCCTTTATCCCCCTTTTGACCCCTTTACCCCCCTTTTGACCCCATTTCCCCCCTCCCCACAGAGGTGGCCGTGGGGCAGGAGCAGGCGTTCGGGGTGGAGACGCAGGGGGCGGGGGGCCAGGGCCGGCTGGACGTGCGCATCTCCTCGCCCTCGCGCCGCCCCCTCCCCTGCAAAGTGGAACCGGGGGCGGGCGGGGGTCCCCACCGCGTGCAGTACGTGCCCCCCGAGGAGGGACCCTACAAAGTGGACGTCACCTACGACGGCCACCCCGTCCCCGGCAGCCCCTTCACCGTGGAGGCCGTGCTGCCCCCCGACCCCTCCAAGGTGAGCCGGCGGCGCTCCGTGGCGCACGCTCCGTGGTGTTGCACGCCCCTGGGTGCACGCTCCTTGCTCGCGTGCCCCCGTTGTGCACGCCTTCCTCGCGTGCTCTCCTTGCTCCCTCGTTGCACGCTCCTTCGTTGCACGCCTCTGTTTCGTGCCCCTTGCTCGTGCTCTCTTGTGCACCTCTTCCTTGTGCATGCTTATTGCACGCTCCTTCCTTGCACATCTGTTTTGTGCCCCTTGCTCGTGCTCTCTTGTGCACTTCTTCCTTGCACACGCTTGGTGCGTGCTCCCTCCTTGCACGCCTCTGTTTCGTGCCCCTCGCTCGTGCGCTCCTGTTGTGCGCTTCTTCTTTGCACGCTCGTGATGCACGCTCTCGTTGTGCACGCCTTCATCGCGTGCTCTCGTTGCTCCGTGCCCTTGTTGCACACTCCCTGCTTGCACGCGCTTGTTGCACGCTCCTTCCTTGCACACATCCATTTTGTGCCCCTTGCTCGTGCGCTCTTGTGCACCTCTTCCTTCTGCATGCTTGTTGCACGCTCCTTCCTTGCACACATTTGTTTTGTGCCCCTTGCTCGTGCTCTCTTGTTGTGCACTTCTTCCTTGCACACGCTTGGTGCACGCTCCTTCCTTGCACGCCTCTGTTTCGTGCCCCTTGCTCGTGCGCTCCTGTTGTGCGCTTCTTCTTTGCACGCTCGTGGTGCACGCTCTTGTGCACGCCTTCATCGCGTGCTCTCATTGCTTCATGCCCTTGTTGCACACTCCCTGCTTGCACACATGCTTGTTGCCTCTCCCAGCTCACACTTGCTTCTTCCTTGCTCACACTCAGTGTGCTCCCTGCTTGCACACGCTTGTTGCACGCTCCTTTCTTGCACACCTCTGTTTTGCGCCCCTTGCTCGTGCTCTCTTGTTGTGCACTTCTTCCTTGCACACGCTTGGTGCACGCTTCTTCCTTGCACACCTCTGTTTCGTGCCCCTTGCTCGTGCGCTCCTGTTGTGCGCTTCTTCTTTGCACGCTCGTGGTGCACGCTCTCGTTGTGCACGCCTTCATCGTGTGCTCTCGTTGCTCCATGCCCTTGTTGCACACTCCCCGCTTGCACACGTGCTTGTTGCACGCTCCCGGCTCACACTTGCATCTTCCTTGCTCACACTCAGTGTGCTCCCTGCTTGCACGCGCTTGTTGCACGCTCCTTCCTTGCACACCTCTGTTTCGTGCCCCTTGCTCGTGCGCTCTTGTTGTGCACACTCGTGGTGCACGCTCCTTCCTTGCACACTTCTGTTTTGCGCCCCTTGCTCGTGCTCTCTTGTGCACTTCTTCCTTGCGCATGCTTGTTGCACGCTCCTTTTTTGCACACATCCATTTTGCGCCCCTTGCTCGTGCTCTCTTGTTGTGCACTTCTTCCTTGCACACGCTTGGTGCACGCTTCTTCCTTGCACACCTCTGTTTCGTGCCCCTTGCTCGTGCGCTCCTGTTGTGCGCTTCTTCTTTGCACGCTCGTGGTGCACGCTCTCGTTGTGCACGCCTTCATCGTGTGCTCTCGTTGCTCCATGCCCTTGTTGCACACTCCCCGCTTGCACACGTGCTTGTTGCACGCTCCCGGCTCACACTTGCATCTTCCTTGCTCACACTCAGTGTGCTCCCTGCTTGCACGCGCTTGTTGCACGCTCCTTCCTTGCACACCTCTGTTTTGTGCCCCTTGCTCGTGCGCTCATGTTGTGCACACTCGTGGTGCACACTCCTTCCTTGCACACGTTTGTTTTGCGCCCCTTGCTCATGCTCTCTTGTGCACTTCTTCCTTGCACACGCTTGTTGCACGCTCCTTCCTTGCACACCTCTGTTTCATGCCCCTTGCTCGTGCGCTCTTGTTGTGCACACTCATGGTGCACGCTCCCTGCTTGCACCCCCTCGTGCCCACCCAGCTGGCCCCCCCCGTCCCCTCCAAAATCCCCCACCCTTCCCATGTCCCCATCGTCCCCCGACCCCTCCAACGTCCCCCAACCCATCCAATGCCCCCCGACCTCTCCAACATCCCCCATCCCTTTTCATCTCCCCAATGTCCCCCTATCCATCCAACGCCCCCCAACCCCTCTAACCCCCCCGACACCCCCCACCCTTACAGGTGAGCGCCTACGGTCCGGGTCTTCAGGGCGGCCTGGTGGGCACCCCGGCCCCCTTCACCATCGACACCAAAGGGGCCGGCACGGGGGGTTTGGGGCTGACGGTGGAGGGCCCTTGCGAGGCCAAAATCGAGTGCCAGGACAACGGCGACGGCTCGTGCTCGGTGTCCTACCTGCCCACGGAGCCCGGCGAGTACTCCATCAACATCCTCTTCGCCGAGCGCCACATCCCCGGCAGCCCCTTCAAGGCCGACGTCCGTCCCGTTTTCGACCCCAGTAAGGTGACGGCCAGCGGGCCCGGGCTGGAGCGCGGCAAAGCCGGCGAGGCGGCCACCTTCCTGGTGGACTGCTCCAAGGCGGGCGACGCCGAGCTCACCATCGAGATCATTTCGGATTCGGGGGTGAAGGCGGAGGTGCTGATCCAGAACAATCGGGACGGCACCTACGCCATCACCTACACCCCCGCCTGCCCCGGTTCCTACACCATCACCATCAAGTACGGCGGGCACCCCGTGCCCAAATTCCCCGTCCGCGTCACCGTCGACCCCGCCATCGACACCAGCGGCGTCAAGGTCTACGGCAAGGGCGTGGAGCCCCGAGGTGAGGGCGGCACGAGGGTGGGTTGGGTGTGGGGTGAGCACGGGGCACCCCAGGGGTGCCTCCTCCAAGTGGGTGTCCCCGTGGGTACCTCCGTCCCCATGGGTGTCCCCTCCTCATGGGCATCTTGATGGGCATCCCCATGGGCATCCCATCCCATGGGTATCTTTGTGGACATCCTCAAGGGCAATTTTTACCCCATGGGCATCTCCATGGGTGTCCCATCCCATTGGGTGTCCCCATGGGCATCCCCTTCCCCATGGGCATCTCCATGGGTGTCCCATCCCGTTGGGTGTCCCCATGGGCATCTCCTTCCCCATGGGCATCTCCATGGGTGTCACATCCCATTGGGTGTCCCCATGGGCATCTCCTTCCCCATGGGCATCTCCATGGGTGTCCCATCCCATTGGGTGTCCCCATGGGCATCTCCTTCCCCATGGGCATCTCCATGGGTGTCCCATCCCGTTGGGTGTCCCTATGGGCATCTCCTTCCCCGTGGGCATCTCCATGGGTGTCCCATCCCATTGGGTGTCCCCATGGGCATCTCCTTCCCCATGGGCATCTCCATGGGTGTCCCATCCCGTTGGGTGTCCCCATGGGCATCTCCTTCCCCATGGGCATCTCCATGGGTGTCCCATCCCATTGGGTGTCCCCGTGGGCATCCCCTTCCCCGTGGGCATCTCCATGGGTTTTCCATCCTACTGGGAATCTTCATGGGCATCTCCTTCCCCATGGGCATCCCCTTCCTGATGGGCATCCCCAAGGACAGCCCATCCTATGGGGCATTTTTGTGGACATCCCCATGGGTGTTCCATCCCATTGCGCATCCCCATGGGCACCCCAACCCCATTGGCACCTCCTTTCCGTGGGCTTCTCCTCCCCATGGACGCCTCCTCCCCATGGGCACCCCCGTGGGCACCCCAAGGGGCACCCCAAAGAACATTTCCCCATGGGAACCCCAATGTGTGCCCACTCCCTATGGGCACCCCAATTGACATCTCCCCCTCAGGGGGCACCCCAAAAGATGCCTCCTCTCCATTGTGCACCCCATTGGGCCTTGTCTCCCCATGGGCACCCCAATGGGCACCCCACTGTGCACCTTCTCCCCATGGGCACCCCAAAGAACATCTCCCCATGGGCACCCCAATGAGCACCCCAATTGGCACCTTCTCCCCATGGGCACCCTGTTGTGCACCCGCTCCCCATGGGCACCCCAATTGTCACCTCCTCCCCACGCCCCCCCCCCCTTGGGGTCACCCCCATCCTGACGCCGCCCCACACGCAGGGGTGCTGCGGGAGGTCAGCACCGACTTCACGGTGGACGCGCGGGCGCTCACCAAAACCGGGGGGCCCCACGTCAAGGCCCGGGTGCTGAACCCCTCGGGTGCCAAAACCGAAACCTACATCACCGACCACGGCGACGGCACCTACCGCGTGGACTACACCCCCTACGAGGACGGTGAGGGACCCCACGGACCCCATAGCCCACTGGGAACCCCCCCTTCTGCCCCAAATCCCAATCTGGAACCTCCCAAATGCCCCCAATTTGGGACCCCAACCTGGGACTCCCACGCCCCCCAGCCAGGGATGATCCCCTCCCAAAAGCCCCCCATGAGGGATCCCCTAAAAACCCCAACCAGGGGCAGTCCCACTGAGGGACCCCTCCCAGAATAAAACAACCATGGACCCCCATATCCTTGCCCAGGGGCCCCCAACCCCACTGTTTGGAGCCCCCCCCCCAACTCTTCCAATGAGGGACTCCCTAAAAAAACCCCAACCAGGGACCCCCCAAAGACTCCCCCATGTGGGATCCTCCCCCAAAAAACAGCCAGAGACCCCCTTCCCTTGCCCAAATCCCCCCAAATCCCCCAGTGGAGCCCCCACCTCCTCCAATGTGGGACCCCCCAAAAACCTCCCCAACAAGGAACCCCCTCCCCAAAACCCCATCCAGGGCCCCCCCAAACCCTTATTGAGGGCCCCCCAACTCCAACATGAGACCCTCCCCAAACCCCCTGCAACCTGTGACTCCCCCCACTCTCCCCAATGAAGGACCCCCACCACCACCCCCTAGGACCCCCCCAAACCCCCCGCTGGCCCCGGGGGTGACGTTTGCCCCCCGCAGGCGTGCACCACGTGGAGGTGACCTACAAGGACGTGGCGGTGCCGCTCAGCCCCTTCCGCGTGGCCGTGGCCGAGGGCTGCGAGCCCACCCGTGTGCGTGCCCACGGCCCCGGCCTGGAGGGGGGCTTGGTGGGCACGGCCAACTGCTTCACCGTGGAGACCAGGTGGGCACCGGCACCCCCCCACCCTGGTGGTGGGACCCCCCGGCACCATGTCACGCGGGCACTCCAGTCACCTTGACGTGGTGGTGGCACCTCCGTCACCCCATGCCACCATGGGCATCTCCATCCCCTTGCCATGGAGGTGGCACCTCCGTCACCCTATGCCACCGTGGGCGTCTCCATCGCCCTACCATGGTGGTGGCACCTTCAGCTCGCTGTCACCATGGGTACACCAATCCCCTTGCCATGGAGGTGGCACCTCCGTCACCCAACCATGGTGGTGGCACCTTCATTTCTCTACCACCATGGCCACCTCCATCCCCTTGCCATGGAGGTGGCACCTCTGTCACCCTACCATGGTGGTGGCACCTTCATCTCCTTGCCACGATGGGCACCCAAATCCCCTTGTCCTGGAGGTGACACCTCCTTCACCCTACTGCCATGGTCACCCCGGTCCCCTTGCCCTGGAGGTGACACCCCCAGCCCTATGCCACCATGGGCATCTCCATCACCCTATCATGGAGGTGGCACCTCTGTCACCCTACCACCTTGGGTACCCCAATCCCCTTGCCATGGAGGTGGCACCCCCAGCCCTGTGCCACCGTGGGCACCTCTGTCACCCTTCCATGGAGGTGGCACCTCTGTCACCCTACCATGGTGGTGGCACCTTCATCTCCTTGCCACAATGGGCACCCCAATCCCCTTGCCATGGAGATGGCACCTTCTTCACCCTACTGCCATGGTCACCCCGGTCCCCTTGCCCTGGAGGTGACACTTGTCACCCTACCACAATGATGTCACCTTCATTTCTCCACCACCACGGTCACCTTGGTCCCCTTGCCATGGAGGTGACACCTCCATCCCCGTCCCACCATGGCCACCCCAATCCCCTTGCCCTAGAGCTGCCACCCCCATTGGGGACCCATCCTTGTCCCCATCCCTGAGTGCCACCACTGTCCCCAGGGGCGCGGGCACCGGGGGGCTGGGCCTGGCCATCGAGGGTCCCTCGGAGGCGAAGATGTCCTGCAAGGACAACAAGGACGGGAGCTGCACGGTGGAGTACATCCCCTTCACGCCCGGCGACTACGACGTCAACATCACCTTCGGTGGCCACCCCATCCCCGGTGCGTGGGGACAGGGACGGGGCTGGGGGCTCCCCGGGGGTCTTCTGCTGCGCTGTCCCCATGGCCGTGCCGTCCCTGTTGTCACGCTGTCCCCATGCCCGTGGTGGCCCCATCCCCATGGTGGCCCCGTGCCCGTGTTCTTCCCATGCCCATGTCCCCCCGCTGTCCCCTTGACCGTGGTCTCCCTGTCCCCAATTTGTCCCCGTGCCCATTTTATCCCCACGTTGTCACCGTGCCCAAATTGTCCCCATGCCCACGTTGTCCCTGCATTGTCCCCATGCCCATGTTCTTGTTCCTACGTTATCTCCAAACTGCCCCCATGCCCACATTGTCCCCCTGTCCCCATATAGTCCCCATGCCCACCTTGTCCCCCCTGTCCCCATATTGTCCCCGTGCCGTCCCCGTGCCGTTGGTGACGCCGCGCCGTGCCGTGCCGCAGGGAGCCCGTTCCGGGTGCCGGTGCAGGACGTGGTGGATCCCAGCAAGGTGAAGTGCTCGGGGCCGGGGCTGGGCCCCAGCGTCCGCGCCCGCCTGCCCCAAACCTTCACCGTGGACTGCAGCGCCGCGGGGCTGGCACCGCTCGAGGTCACGCTGCTGGGACCCACCGGTGCGTTGGGGCTGGGGGGTCGTGTCCGTGGGGTGCCCTGTGCTATGGGGTGTCCTGTGCCATGGGGTGACTTATCCATGGGGTACCCTGCCCCATAGGGTGCCTGCCCCATGGGGTGTCCTGTGCCATGGGGTGACTTGTCCATGGGGTACCCTGCCCCATAGGGTGCTGGCCCTACAGCATGTCCTGCCCCATAGGGTGTCCTGTGCCATGGGGTGGCTTATCCATGGGGTACCCTGCCCCATAGGGTGCCTGTCCCATAGGGTGCCCTGTGCCATGGGGTGACTTCTCCGTGGGGTGACTTCTCCATAGGGTGCCTGCCCCACAGCATGTCCTGCCCCATATGGTGTCCTGTGCCATGGGGTGTCCTGTGCCATGGGGTGACTTATCTGTGGGGTACCCTGCCCCATAGGGTGCCTGCCCCATAGGGTGTCCTGTGCCATGGGGTGTCCTGTGCCATGGGGTGGCTTATCCATGGGGTATCCTGCCCCATAGGGTGCCTGCCCCACAGCATGTCCTGCCCCATAGGGTGTCCTGTGCCATGGGGTGACTCGTCCATGGGGTCCCCTGTGCCCCACAGGGTGCCGTACTCCATAGGGTGCCCTGTCCCATAGGGTTCCCTGCCCCATAGGATGTCCTGCCCCACGGGAACCCTGCCCCATGGGGACCCAGCCCCACTGATCTCCCTCCCCACAGGCCTGGCGGAGCCGGTGGAGGTGCGTGACAATGGGGACGGCACCCACAAGGTGACCTACACCCCGGCCACCGACGGGCCCTACACCGTGGCCGTCAAGTACGCCGACCAGGAGGTGCCGCGCAGGTGAGGGGCAGCGCCCAGCCCCACTGAGCCCCCTGCCCCACTGATCCCCCAGCCCCACTGATCCCTGTGCCCCACACTGATCCCAGTGTCCCACACTGATCCCTGTGCCCTATACTGACCCTATTCCCCATACTGACCCCACTGACCCCATATCCCAATGACCCCGTGCTCCGCATTAACCCTGTGTCCCCTACTGACCCTGTGCCCTATACTAACCCTGTTCCCCATACTGACCCCGCTGACCCCATACCCCACTGACCCCGTGTCCCCCACATTGACCCTGTGCCCTACACTGACCCTATTCCCCATGCTGACCCTGCTGACCCTGTGCCCCGCATTAACCCTGTGTCCCCCGCTGACCCTGTGCCCTACACTGACCCCGTTCCCCGTACTGAACCCGCTGACCCCGTGTCCCCCACTGACCCCATAACCCACTGACCCTGTGCCCTGCATTGATCCTGTGCCCTATACTGACCTTGTGCCCCATACTGACCCCACTGACCCCATATCCCAATGACCCCATGCCCCGCATTAACCCTGTGTGTCCTACTGACCCTGTGCCCTATCCTGACCCTATTTCCCATACTGACCCCACTGACCCCATGCCCCGCATTGACCCTGTGCCCTGCATTGACCCTGTGTCTCCAACTGACCTTGTGCCCTATACTGACCCTATTCCCCATGCTGACCCCGCTGACCCCGTGCCCCGCGTTGACCCTGTGTCCCCCAATGACCCTGTGCCCTACACCGACCCCGTTCCCCATATTGACCCTGCTGACCCCGTGTCCCCCACTGACCCCATAACCCAATGACTCTGTGCCCCATACTGACCCCACTGACCCCATACCCCACTGACCCCGTGCCCCACATTGACCCTGTGCCCTACACCGACCCCATTCCCCGTACTGACCCCGCTGCCCCCCGTGTCCCCGCAGCCCCTTCAAGATCAAGGTCCTGCCGTCCCACGATGCCAGCAAGGTGCGCGCCAGCGGCCCGGGGCTGAGCGCCAGCGGCATCCCCGCCAGCCTCCCCGTGGAGTTCACCATCGACGCGCGCAACGCCGGCGAGGGGCTGCTGACCGTGCAGATCCTGGTGAGCCCCACAACCTGCCTCCTACCGCCCCATGGGGTGCTGGGACCCATAGGGCGCCCTATAGCCGTCCCATGGGGTGCTGGGACCCATAGGGTACCCTATAGCCGTCCCGTGGGGTGCTGGGACCCATAGGGCGCCCTATAGCCGTCCCATGGGGCACCAAACCCCATAGGGCTCCCTATAGCCATCCCATGGGGTGCTGGGACCCATAGGGCACCCTATGGCCATCCCGTGGGGTGCTGGGACCCATAGGGCGCCCTATAGCCATCCCATGGGGCACCAAACCCCATAGAGCTCCCTATAGCTATCCCATGGGGCACTGAGCCCTGTAGGGCTCCCTATAGCCATTCTATGGGGTGCTGGGACCCATAGGGCTCCCTATGGCCATCCCATGGGGTGCTGGGACCCATAGGGTACCCTATAGCCGTCCCGTGGGGTGCTGGGACCCATAGGCTCCCTATGGCTGTCCCATGGGGCACCAAGCCCTATAGGGCTCCCTATAGCCATCCCATGGGGTGCTGGGACCCATAGGGCGCCCTATGGCTGTCCCATGGTGTGCTGGGACCCATAGGGCTCCCTATAGCTGTCCTGTGGGGTGCTGGGACCCATAGGGCTCCCTATAGCCATCCCATGGGGTGCTGGGACCCATAGGGCTCCCTATGGCCATCCCATGGGGTGCTGGGACCCACAGGGCTCCCTATGGCCGTCCCGTGGGGTGCTGAGCTCCATAGGGCTCCCTATAGCCGTCCCGTGGGGTGCTGGGACCCATAGGGCGCCCTATGGCTGTCCCATGGGGTGCTGGGACCCATAGGGCTCCATATAGCTGTCCTGTGGGGTGCTGGGACCCATAGGGCTCCCTATAGCCATCCCATGGGGTGCTGGGACCCATAGGGCTCCCTATGGCCATCCCATGGGGTGCTGGGACCCACAGGGCTCCCTATGGCCGTCCCGTGGGGTGCTGAGCTCCATAGGGCTCCCTATAGCCGTCCCGTGGGGTGCTGGGACCCATAGGGCGCCCTATGGCTGTCCCATGGGGTGCTGGGACCCATAGGGCTCCATATAGCTGTCCTGTGGGGTGCTGGGACCCATAGGGCTCCCTATAGCCATCCCATGGGGTGCTGGGACCCATAGGGCTCCCTATGGCCATCCCATGGGGTGCTGGGACCCACAGGGCTCCCTATGGCCGTCCCGTGGGGTGCTGAGCTCCATAGGGCTCCCTATAGCCGTCCCGTGGGGTGCTGGGACCCATAGGGCGCCCTATGGCTGTCCCATGGGGTGCTGGGACCCATAGGGCTCCATATAGCTGTCCTGTGGGGTGCTGGGACCCATAGGGCTCCCTATAGCCATCCCATGGGGTGGTGAGCCCTGTAGGGCTCCCTATGGCCGTTCCATGGGGCACTGAGCCCTGTAGGGTTCCCTGTGGCCATTCTATGGGGTGCTGAGCCCCATAGAGCTCCCTATAGCCATCCCATGGGGTGCTAAGCCCCATAGAGCTCCCTGTGGCCATCCCATGGGGCATTCAGCCCCATAGGGCTCCCTATAACCATCCCATGGGGTGCTGAGCCCATAGAGCTCCCTATGGCCATTCCATGGGGCACTGAGCCCTGTAGGGCTCCCTGTAGCCATCCCATAAGGCGTTGAGCCCCACAGAGCTCCCTGTGGCCATCCCATGGGCCCCATAGAGCTCCCTGTGGCCATCCCATGGGGCACCAAGCTCTATAGGGCCCCCTATGGCACTGAGCCCCACAGAGCTCCATATAGCCATCCCATGGGCCCCATAGAGCTCCCTGTAGCCACCCCATGGGGCACCGAGCCCCATAGAGCTCCCTATAGCCGTTCTATGGGGCGCTGAGCTGCGCGGTGCCCGCAGGACCCCGAGGGGCAGCCCAAGAAGGCGGCGATCCGGGACAACGGGGACGGGACCTACACCGTGTCCTACGTGCCCGACCTGCCGGGGCGCTACACCATCACCATCAAGTACGGGGGCGACGAGATCCCCTGCTCGCCCTTCCGCATCCACGCCGTGCCCTCCGGCGACGCCAGCAAGTGCCTCGTCACAGGTGGGCCCTGCCCCACGGCGTGCCCCACGGCGTGCCCCACGGCGTGCCCTATGGCTTCCCCCTGCCACCCCGCGGCATCCCCACGCTGCCCTATGGCTACCTCCTGCCGCCCCACGGCGTCCCCTTGCTGCCCCATGGTGCGCCGCGCTGCCCCATAGCATCCCTGTGCCACCCCATGGCATCCTCCTGCTGCCCCACAGATCCTCCACGCTGCCCCACATCGTCCCCTTGCTGCCCCACTGTGCCCTGTGCTGCCCCATGGCATCCCCGCGCTGCCCCACGCCACCTCCCTGCTGCCCCATGGATTTTCCATGCACCCCTACGCTGCCCCATAGCATCCCCATGCTGCCCCATAGCATCCCCACGCTGCCCCACAGCACCCCCACGCTGCCCCACAGCATCCCCATGCTGCCCCATTGTGCCCTCTGCTGCCCCATAGCATCCCCACGCTGCCCCACAGCACCCCCAGGCTGCCCCATAGCATCCCCATGCTGTCCCATTGTGCCCTCTGCTGCCCCATGGCATCCCCACGCTGCCCCACGGCGTACCCGTGCTGCCCCACAGCACCCCCAGGCTGCCCCACAGCATCCCCATGCTGTCCCATTGTGCCCTCTGCTGCCCCATGGCATCCACACCCTGCCCCACGGCGTCCCCCTCCCCCTGCCCCACAGCATCCCCACCCTGCCCCACGGCGCACCCGTGCTGCCCCCTACCACCCCACAGTTTCTCCTCGCTGCCCCACAGATTCCCTTCCCTGCCCCACAGCGCCTCGTGCTGCCCCACACCGACCCACAGCATCCCCCTGCCCCACAGCTTCCCTCCGCTGCCCCACGCCTTCCCCACGGCACCCCCTCCCTGCCTTGCCCCCCGTCATCACCCCACGGCGTCCGCGGGTGCCCCCCGAGCAGAGCAGGACGTGCTGGCCCCCCGGCCCCCCCCGGCCCCCCGCAGCCCCCCGCAGCCCCCCCATCTCATCCGCTTTTCCCTCGTCTCTCTTTGCAGTATCCATTGGGGGCCACGGACTGGGTAAGTGGGGCCGGGGGGGGGCAAAAGGTGGTGGGGGGGTGGTGGGGGGGTGGTGACGAGGGTCTTGGGGTGGGGATGTGGGTGGCCGGGATGGGTCCCCCCGTGACCGTGTCCCACCCCACCCGTCCCCCCTGTCCCCCCCCCTGCCCCATAGGTGCCTGCTTGGGTCCCACCATCCAAATCGGAGAGGAGACGGTGATCACGGTGGACGCCAAAGCGGCCGGGCAGGGCAAGGTGACCTGCAAGGTGTCGACGCCCGACGGGGCCGAGCTGGACGTGGACGTGGTGGAGAACCACGACGGCACCTTCGACATCTACTACACCGCCCCCGAGCCCGGCAAATACGTCATCACCATCCGCTTCGGGGGCGAGCACGTCCCCAACAGCCCCTTCCACGTCCTGGTAGGTGGTGGTGGGGGTGGTGGTGGGGGATTTTGGGAAGGGTTTTGGGGGTGATTGGGGGGTTTGTGGGGGGCTTTGTGGGGTTGGGAGGTGAGGATGGGTGATTTAGGGTGAAGAGTTGGGGATGTGGTGGGCACTGTAGGGTCGTGGTGGGCACTGTAGGGTGGTGGTGGGCACAGTGGGGTCGTGGTGGGCACCGTAGGGTCATGGTGGGCACCGTGGGGTCGTGGTGGGCACTATAGGGTCGTGGTGGGCACCGTGGGGTTATGGTGGGCACCATGGGGTCGTGGTGGGCACAATGGGGTTGTGGTGGGCACCATGGGGTCGTGGTGGGCACAATGGGGTTGTGGTGGGCACTGTGGGATCGTGGTGGGCACAGTAGGGTTGTTGTGGTCACTGTGGGGTCATGGTGGGCACCATGGGGTCGTGGTGGGCACTGTGGGGTCATGGTGGGCACCATAAGGTCATGGTGGGAACAGTGGGGTCGTGGTGGGCACTGTAGGGTCATGGTGGGCACCATAGGGTTGGGGTGGGCACCGTAGGGTTGTGGTGGACACTGTAGGGTCGTGGTGGGCACCGTGGGGTCATGGTGGGCACCGTGGGGTTGGGACACCGTGACAAGCACCATGGGGCAAGTCTGGGAGCATAGGGGGCACCAAGGGGGTGGGAGATGGTGGTGGGCACCGTGGGGCAGAGTGGGGGCCGTGGTGGCCACCCCGGGGTGGGGGGGCTGTGGCACTGACACCGCTCTGCCCCACGGCACCAGGCCACCGAGGAGCCCCCCGCCACCGCCGAGAGCCTTCGTCCCTTCAACCTCGTCATCCCCTTCACCGTGCAGAAGGGCGAGATCACAGGTATGGGGTGAGGTGGGGCGTGGTGTGGGGTGCGGTGTGGGGCGCTGGTGTCCCCAAGGCACCCCGGTGACGCGGTGTCCCGTCCCCAGGCGAGGTGCGGATGCCCTCGGGGAAGACGGCGCGCCCCAACATCACGGACAACAAGGACGGGACGGTGACGGTGCGCTACGCCCCCACCGAGAAGGGGCTGCACGAGATGGACATCCGCTACGACGGCAACCACATCCCCGGTGAGCACTGGGAGCACTGGGAGTACTGGGAGGGGGCCAAACCCCGACCCCCGGCGCCGCGGCCCCGTGTCCCTGACTGTCCCCGTGTCCCCAGGGAGCCCCCTCCAGTTCTACGTGGACGCCATCAACCCGCGGCACGTCAGCGCCTACGGGCCGGGGCTGAGCCATGGCATGGTCAACAAGCCCTGCACCTTCACCATTGTCACCAAGGACGCTGGGGAGGGTGAGTGAGGGTCCCAGGGGGGTGGGAGGGGTTGGGAGGGGATGGGCAGCGTGGGGGCGGGAGATCATGGGGGCCACCAGGGGGTTGGAAGACAGGGGGGGCAACTGTAGGTTTGGGAGAGCGTGGTGGGCACCATAGGGTTGGAAGATCACGTTGGCCATCACTGGGTTGGAAGACCATGATGGGCACCATCAGGTTGGAAGACCACGACGGGCACCATTGAGTTGAAAGATCATGTTGGCCATCATTGGGTTGGAAGATCACGTTGGGCACCATAGGGTTGGAAGACCATGATGGTCATCATTGGGCTAGAAAATCATGTTGGTCATCATTGTGTTGGAAGATCACGTTGGCCATCATTGGGTTGGAAGATCACGTTGGCCATCATTGGGTTAGAAGACCACAATGGGCACCATTGGGTTGGAAGACCATGATGGTCATAATTGGGCTAGAAATTCATGTTGGCCATCATTGGGTTGGAAGACCACGATGGGCACCATTGGGTTAGAAGATCACGTTGGCCATCATTGGGTTGGAAGACCATGATGGGCACCATAGGGTTGGAAGACCATGATGGTCATTGTTGGGTTAGAAAATCATATTGGTCATCATTGTGTTGGAAGATCGCGTTGGCCATCATTGGGTTAGAAGACCACGATGGGCACCATAGGGTTGGAAGACCACAATGGTCATCATTGTGTTGGAAGATCACGTTGGCCATCATTGGGTTGGAAGACTATGATGGTCATCGTTGGGTTAGAAAATCATGTTGGCCATCACTGGGTTGGAAGACCACGATGGGCACCATAGGGTTGGAAGACCATGATGGTCATCATTGGGTTAGAAAAATATGTTGGCCATTGTTGTGTTGGAAGATCACGTTGGTCATCATTGGGTTGAAAGACCACAATGAGCATCATTGGGTTAGAAAATCATGTTGGCCATCATTGGGTTGGAAGACCACGACGGGCACTGTTGGGTTGGAAGACCACAATGGTCATAATTGTGTTGGAAGATCATGTTGGCCACCATTGGGTTAGAAGATCATGTTGGCCATCATTGGGTTGGAAGATCATGTTGGTCATCATTGGGTTAGAAAATCATTGTGTTGGAAGACAGCGGTGCCCACCATTGGGTTGGAAGACCCTAAGGGCACCATGGGTCAGAGCATTGGGACCACGGCGGCTGCCATAGGGTTGGAAGACCATGATGGGCACAATGGGGTTGGGAGATCCTGGTGGCCACTATGGGTTTGGGAGGCCACGATGATCACTGCTCAACTGGGAGGTGGTGGTGGGCACCGTGGGGCTGGGTGAGCGTGGTGGGCGCCACGGTGCTGACCCCCACCCCCTGCCCCAGGTGGGCTCTCGCTGGCGGTGGAGGGTCCTTCCAAGGCAGAGATCACCTGCAAGGACAACAAGGACGGGACCTGCACCGTGTCCTACCTGCCCACGGCCCCTGGGGACTACAACATCATCGTCCGCTTTGATGACAAGCACATCCCGGGCAGCCCCTTCACCGCCAAGATCACCGGTGAGTGGGGGGCTCAGGGAGACCCTTGATGGGGTCCCCTCTGGTCTCGGGGACTTTCTGCGTGGCCTCTGGGAGTCATCGTGTGGCCACCGGGTCCGTTGTCCAGTCCTGGCCACCAGGACCTCATGGTGTGGCCACGGGTACCCTGTCCACGTGGCCATGGGGACCCCTGAACGGTGGTGGTCTTGGGGACCCTTGAATGGCTGTGGGGGATCCCATGGGGACACCTGCATGGTCATGACCATGGGGACCCCACTGGGACCCCACCACGTGGCCTTGGGGACCCTGTGTGGTCACGGGGACCCCACCACGTGGCATTGGGTGCACCGCATGGCCACCACACATCCCCATGTGTCCCTGGGGACCCCGCTCACGTGGCCATGGACCCACAGCCACGGGACCCCCGTCCTGCCCCCCCTTTTTGCCCCCCCACTGACGTCACCTCCGCAGGGGACGACTCCATGCGCACGTCCCAGCTGAACGTGGGCACCTCCACGGACGTCTCGCTGAAGATCACGGAGACCGACCTGAGCCTGCTGACCGCCAGCATCCGTGCGCCCTCGGGCAACGAGGAGCCCTGCCTGCTCAAGCGGCTGCCCAACCGCCACATCGGTGCGTGGGGACACGGGGACACGGGGGGCACCCAAGGGTGGCGGTGGCTGACGGTGGCGTCCCCCTCCCCAGGCATCTCCTTCACACCCAAGGAGGTGGGCGAGCACGTGGTGAGCGTGAAGAAGAGCGGGCAGCACGTCACCAACAGCCCCTTCAAGATCCTGGTGGGGCAGTCGGAGATCGGGGACGCCAGCCGGGTGAAGGTGTGGGGCAAGGGGCTGGTGGAGGGCACACCTTCGAGGTGGCCGAGTTCATCGTGGACACGCGTAGCGCCGGTGAGACCATGGGTGGAGACGGGGACGGGGATGGGGCAGGGGCATTGGGGTGACGCGTTTGGGGCTGGCGTGGGGTGGTGGCCGAGGGCAATTTGTGGCTGTGGCCACCATGGGATGGGTGGTGGCCATGGCATGGCCAAGGGATGAAGGCCATGGTGGTGGCGTGGTCATGGCCAGCATGGGATGGGTGGTGGCCGTGGTGGTGGCATGGTCATGGTCAGGATACGATAGGTTGTGGCCATGGCATGGCCAAGGGCAACCAAAATGGGATGGAGACCGTGGTGATGACGTGGTCATGACCAGGTTGGGATGGGTGGTGCCATGGCATGGTCAGGGGCAACCAACATGGGATGGAGACCATGGTGATGACGTGGTCATGGCCAGGATGGGATGGGTGGTGGCCATGGCATGGCCAAGGGATGGAGACCATGGTGGTGGCATGGTCATGACCAGAATGGGTTGGATGAGGCCATGGCATGGCAAGGGCAACCAAAATGGGATGGAGACCGTGGTGATGACGTGGTCATGACCGGGTTGGATGATGGGTGGTGGCCATGGCATGGCCAAGGGATGAAGGCCATGGTGGTGGCGTGGTCATGGTCAGGATGGGATGGGTGGTGGCCATGACATGGCCAAGGGCAACCAAAATGGGATGGAGACCATGGTGATGACGTGGTCATGACCAGGTTGAGATGAGTGGTGGCCATGGCATGGCCAAGGGCAACCAACATGGGATGGAGACCATGGTGATGACGTGGTCATGGCCAGAACGGGTTTGGATGATGGCCATGGCATGGCCAAGGTCAACTTGGGGGTGGTGGCCATAGCTGTGACTGTTGTTGGGATGGGCTGGTGGCCGTGGTGGTGGCACGGCCGTGGCCAGGATGGGCTGGTGGCCTCGTCACCCCCACATCCACGTTGGGGGATGTCCCCAAACGCGTCCCGCTCTGCCCAGGCTACGGCGGGCTGGGCCTGTCCATCGAGGGCCCCAGCAAGGTGGACATCAACTGCGAGGACGTGGAGGACGGCACCTGCAAGGTCACCTACTGCCCCACCGAGCCCGGCAACTACATCATCAACATCAAATTCGCCGACAAACACGTCCCAGGTGGGCACGGGGACGGGGTGGGGGCCGGCATTGTCCCATGGAGGGGGTGGCCAGGGTGGGTGTGTTGAGCTGGTGGCCGTGTGTCCCCCCCAAAACAGGGAGCCCCTTCACGGTGAAGGTGACGGGCGAGGGGCGGCATGAAGGAGAGCATCACGCGCCGGCGCCAGGCCCCCTCCATCGCCACCATCGGCAGCACCTGCGACCTCACCTCAAGATCCCAGGTAGGGCACGCGCCTTCCTCCTCCTCCTCCTCCTCCTCCTCCTCCTCCTCCTCCTCCTCCTCTTCCTGCTCCTGCGCCTCCGCGGCGGGGACGGGGACAGGGACAGGACAAGGACAGGGCAGGGACAGGGCAAGGAGAGGGACAGGACAGGGGCAGGGCAGGGACAGGGACGCGTCTCGGCCGCTCCGGCTCTGATCTCCGCCGCCTTCTTCCTTCTCCCGCCGTCCCCGTGTCTGTCCGCGTGTGCCCGTGCCCTCCGTGCCTGCGTCCCTCCGGGTTTGTCCGTCGTCCGTGCCCCCACCCACGTGTCCATGTGTCCGTGCCTGTGACCGTCGTGTACCGGCCGTCCGTGCGTCCATCCGTGTCCGTCCGTCCCTGCACACCCTCCTCCAACTGTGTAACCATCCATCCACACGTCCATCTGTGTCTCCATCCTTCTGTGCACCTCTCCATCCATCCGTCCGTCCATCCATCCATCCGTCCATCCATCCATCGTCCGTCCTTCTGTCCATATTTTCACTCATCCATCCATCCATCCACCCATGCATCCATCATCCATCCATCCACATGTCCGTCCGTCCGTCCATCCCATCATCCATCCATGTTTCCACCCTTCCACCATCCATCCATCCATGCATCCATCCATGTGCTCATCCACTGATGTGTCCGTCCATCCGTCCGTCCGTCCATCCATCCATCCTTCTGTCCATATTCCACTCATCCATGCATGCATCCATCCATCCATCCATCCACCCACCCATCTGTCCACATGTCCATCCACCACCCATCCATGTTTTCGCCCATCCATCCATCCATCCATCCATCCATCCACCCATCCATCCATCCATGCACCCCTGAATCATCCATCCACGTTTCCACCCTTCCATCATCCATCTTCCCTTCTATCCATATTTCCATCCATCCATCCATCCATCCATGCATCCACCATACATCCATCCACGTGTCCATCCATCCATGTTTCCACCCACCCACATCCATCCATCCATCCACCCACCCATCCATCCATCATCCATCCATCTTTCTACCCATCTATCCATGATGTGCCCATCTTTCCTTCCTCCTTCCTTCCTTCCTTCCTTCCTTCCTTCCTTCCGTCCTTCCTTCC